CAAGTGATGGGGTCTACTGCAAAAATAACGCCTTAGCATAACATATCAGAAACAGGATTTGAAGAGTTTCATGAAGGACAGTTTACTAGGAGAAACACTCAACAATACACATGAAGAAGAAAAACTGAGCACAGAAAGTTTTTAAATGTAGTGGAGTTGCAATGGAGAGGCCAGTTTATCCCTTAGAGAGCTCAAAGCCTAGGGTGGCCCTTTAAAAAAATTTCTAAACGTACAAAAGGCCTTGGGCTTTGTATTCAAACATCACCCATCACTGGAATGAGGGCTGTCTATGGAGAAATGGCTTAGCTATGTGAGAGGCTGTAACCTTCAGCCAATGACAATTTTATTAAAAAGAAATAGCTGTGGCTAGCAGCAGAGAACATGTCATCACTTGGAGATAAGCCTCTCCACCTTCAATTTTGGATTTGAGTAACATTCACAGGATCTACTCTATTAGGGTTATTAGTGAGAAAGTTCTCAAACAAGTAAATGCAATTGTACAGATGCTCACAGTAAAGGTAACACAGCATTTATAGACAAAACATGAGTAAAATTTATGGTCAAGACAAAAACTAACACCTAGTGAACACCTAGACTTCATGAAGCTCCCCCGTAGGCAAACACACTGATTAGCAAAGAGGCAAATACACCCTAATTATAAAAGACTTGACATTGAAGTGCTGCTGCTGGCAGGATTCTTCCAGACCTACATGTTTCTTCATTTTGTTATTTTTGATTTGTATCTAACACTGTTAGGATAACTATAGAAGTTTTCTGATTAGTTTTGTGCTGTTCTGGTGAATTACCAATCATGTAGATGACCACAGGAGTTCCCAGGTTTTGTAGCTAAATGGATCAGCAGTGGGAGGGACCTGGGAATCCCAGTTTGTGGATGGCACCTCATTAGAGGAAGTGTTTGAGCATCGCGAGTTAGGTTCTGGATAAATAATGAGTGGTTACAACCAGATAGGAGCTGCAGTAAACCACTCAGGGTTGGTATTCAGATAATGCCCTACTTCACATCCTTTCAAAGAAACCGCCCAACACTTGGAAATATTTGCCATTAATCAAATATATTTCTTCCTGAAGTCAGTGATTTTACTGGACCTTCAGGGAGTCAGGGCTGTGATCAAGTTCAACAGCTTGTATTGTTAGATTTCTTTGTCACTTGTCCCTTACAGTTTGGCGCCTGAGTAGCTATCTTTATTGGATTCCAATTTTACATTTCTTGGAGTCCATCAAATTTTTCCTTTAATTTTAATTTTGATTTATTTTATTTCTAAGTAAAATGTGAGGACTTTTCGTGAAGGTTTGCTAGGATTTAACTCCTTCCATGAGTTGAAAACTTTTATTGAAAAAATACTTGAACCTATGAAACTGTGTCATAAAATAAAATGAAATTAAAACACCAAGCATTGGTTTAAACATTTTTTATCTCAAAATAAATTTTTCTTTCAGTTAAAAGATACTTGAACAATAAGGTAGCTTTTGGGCAAAACAATATTTGCAAAGAATCATGCCACTGACCTAAGTTTCATAACATTCCTTTGCTAGTGAGTAGCCAAAAGTCAATCTATTCTCTCTTTTTTTGTTGTTGGCAACCTGTTCTTATTTTCTGGAAAAAAAATAAAAATAAAACACCAAGTTTCTGGTTATTTTGTAACTAACTTTACAATGTTCTTTTTTTTGGCATTGTTTATTGTCTTGGAGACTTTGAACTGAGGATATGAGGGTTAACAGCAGATATGTAGATGATCCCGTCACGTGGTAGAATAAGAAGTGGCTTTCCAGACATATCAGACCTTCTTTTTAGGATTTTTGCGATTCCTTCAGGAAACATTCTAGTCATTTAGGAAGAATCTCTGGGGCTTGGCACGGTGACCTAGCAACTAAAGTCCTTTGCTTGAACGTACCAGGATCTGATATGGGCATCGGTTCTAATCCTGGCAGCTCCATTTCCCATCCAGCTCCCTGCTTCTGGCCTGGGAATGCAGTCAAGGATGGCCCAAAGCCTTGGAATCCTGCACCTGCGTGGGAACCTAGAGGAAGCTCCTGGCTCCTGACTTCGGATTTGTGCAGCACTGGCCATTGCAGTCACTAGGGGAGTGAATCATTGGACGGAAGATCTTCCTTTCTGTCTCTTCTCTCTGTATATCTGACTTTTCAATAAAAAAAATAAATAAATTTAAAAAGCAAAAGTTTGTGGTTTTAAATTCATTGTGCTTATCACAAATTCTAATCTCTATGTAGTTAGCACAGAAGCTAGGGAAAAAACTTAGAAAAGGAAGCTTTTTCAAATTGCGTCATGTATAGTTTTGTGATTAATTTGTGGAACTACCCACTCATGGCATTTCCTGTCTCTTAGACTTGTGGACACAGAACTTGCCAATGCACAGGGATGAAAACAGCTGTCTTCACCTCACCTCCCACATTTCTGTTGACCACGTGCTAAAGTTTTCTAGGATCATCCTAGATTGTCTCCACTTCCTATATAATTACAAGGTACCGTCTCTCATAACCCTGAGTCACACTCCTTACATTTCTGTAATGTATGTATGTATATAAGTACATGTTCCATATTCAGCTAAATACATTTCTCTCAAGGAAATTCGCAAAACTATATTTCAGGATATGATTTTCTAATACGAATAACCATTTTCAACTTCTACATTCCTATTTTGTATGCAGTACATAGTGTTTTAATAATTTGTTAATTTCTGACATGTACCAGACAGGAAAATATGTTCCCATGTAGCACTCTTTGAAAATGCAACAATAGGGCCCAGCACAATAGCATAGTTGTTAAAGTCAATGCCTTGAACGCACCAGGATCCCATATGGGTGCCAGTTCATATCCTGGCAGCTCCACTTCCCATCCAGCTCTCTGCTTGTGGCCTGGAAATGCAGTTGAGGATGGCCCAAAGCTTTGGGATCCTTCTCCCACATAGGAGACGCGGAAGAAGCTCCTGGATCCTGGCTTCAGATGAGCACAGCGCCGACCATAGTGGTCACTTGGGAAATGAACCATTGGATGGAAGATCTTCCTCTCTGTCTCTCCTCCTCTCTATATCTGACTTTGTAATAAAAATAAATAAATCTTTTAAAAAATTTCAATTTTACAAGAACATAATTTTTGTATGAAACTTAAGTGGATATCATTTTAAAAGAAACAGGTAAAATTTGAGGACTTTAAAAATGTAATTCCCATGATCACCACGATGAAAATGGGTAGCAAATAACAAATAATAAAAGGTAAAGTATTAAGGGTTTTTACGGATACATCAACAAAACACAAAAGCAAACCAACCTGGAAGAATTGGCAGAGAAGGAAGCTGAGATACACATTAAAGAAGGGTCTTTTCCATACAAAATATATAAATATTCATGAATTATGAAACAATGGGTCCAACTACATGCTATCTACAAGATGCTCACTTTACATTTGAGGGCATATATAGAGTGTAAGTGAAAAGAAGGAAAACCATACTCAATGAGAATAGTTACCAAAAGAACACGATGACTATACTGTCACTCAATGCAGATTTTTCAGCTAAAAGCCATAATAGAGTACAAAGGGACAGGATACAAAGATAAAACACCAATGAATCAAAACTACACACTGATTGTAAAATACAAATGTCAAACGCTAGAGTTCGTAATACGTGAAACAAATACTGGCAAGATTAAAGAGAGAAATAGACAAATACACGTTAAAAGTTCATGAATGGAGTAGTATTTATAATGCTAACACTAAAAAAAGGAAACAGGAATAACAGTATTAATTTCAAAGGAAATGAGAGTTCTCAGAGATTAAAAAATGGCATAATAATCATAAAACGGTCGATTCTCTTAGAAGACAAAAAAAAAAACAATGACTTGTATGTACCTATAAATACATCATGAAAATATAAAATCTACCATGATAGAGAGAAGAGGAGAGAGGTTAGCATGACTAGGAGGCAAGGACAGATGCAGGCGGCCCAATCCAGCAACACACACAGTCCAAGGGCTGCAACTGGCACCTATCAGCTGCTGACTCCCACAAAGGATCACACCTTCCAATTCCCAGATCCAACATTCGCCAAGAAGGACCACATTCTAGGTTTATAAGAATATAAATATTATCGCTGCCTACTCGCTGCCCATGGGAAATGAGCTACAAATCAATAGCAAAGAAAAGACTAAACATAAAACATGAATGATCAAGTAATATGCTCTTTAATATAGGAGTATAAGACTCGACCTCAAGAGAAATTTAAGGAAATATTTCAAAGTAATTGAAAATATCACCAAAAATAAAAACATCAGGGGATACAGAGTAAAGTTGGCATGTAGAAAAATGTACAGCAGTGAATACATATATTACAAAATAAGAAAACTCTCAAATGAGTCATCTACACTTTAACCTTAAGAAACTAGAAAAGGGGCAAGTAAAACTCCGTGAAGCAGAGAAAACTAAATAAGAAATATAGCAAAAATCAATAAAGTTAGAAATAGGAAACCGATACATCAAACACTAGCTGTTTGAACATTTCTAGCAAGCTTCGATGGAAGAAAATGCTAATTACTAATAGCAGAAATTATATAAGATACATACCTGTAGCTAATAAACAACAAAAGTTACAGACAGAAAAGGAAGAAATAAAGCTTTTTATCAGCAGGCATGTATTATGCAATATTGTATGTAGAAAGTCTGAAATAGCTGGTATAAAACCAGAACTAATGATCACAGCAAGGCTACAGCACATGAATTAAATATAAGAAGTCAAAAACCTGTCCATATTGCAGAAATAAAAAGTCAATTTGAAATAAGACACAATCATTTTCATTAGCAATCTCCAAGACAAAATACTAAAGTAGAAATCAAACCAAATATATATACAACAGCTATATGTGCAAACTAAAAAGTTGTTTCTATAGAAACAGATTTCCCACGATTGTCAACAGGAAGTTTTAAAATTAATGACAGTTCTGGCCAATTTTTTTTGTTTTGTTTTTCTGGGTACAAGGTGTTCTTTATTGATGGTAGCATGACAAGATAGGGCTCGCAAAGCCCTCCTCTTCTCCAGGGGGTCTCGGATGGCGACTGTGAAAGGGCAGATTCTCAGTGGTGGGGACGAAGTTGGGGCAGGGACTCCCCAGCAGCCTCGCTCTTCCTCTGGTGCTCTTGCTGGGGTCCATGGTCCCGGGGAGACTTTTACTCCTTTGAGGCCATGTGGACCATGAGGTCCACCACCCTGTTGCTGTAGCCAAATTTGTTGTCATACCAGGAGATGAGCTTGACAAAGTGGTCATTGAGGGCAATGCCAGCCCCAGCATCAAAAGTGGAGGAGTGGGTGTCACTGTTGAAGTCACAGGAGACAAACTGGTCCTTGCTGTAGCCCAGGATGCCCTTCAGGGGGCCCTTGGAAGCCTGCTTCACCACCTTCTTGATGTCATTATACTTAGCAGCTTTCTCCAAACGGCAAGTCAGGTTCACCACAGACACGTTGGGAGTAGGCACACAGAAGGCCATGCCTGTGAGTTTCCCGTTCAGCTCAGGGATGACCTTGCCCACAGCCTTGGCGGCACCAGTGGAAGCCAGGATGATGTCCTGGGCAGCCCCACGACCATCGCGCCACAGCTTCCTGGAGGGGCCGTCCACTGTCTTCTGGGTGGCGGTGATGGTGTGCACTGTGGTCATGAGACCCTCCACAATGTCTGGCTAATTTTTAAAATGTAGAGTCAGCCCAATCTCAATTAAAGTCACAAGTTATATTACTGATAACAGCACATTGATTCTATAACGTATGCCAAGTTGCAGAAGAGCCAAAACAATATTGAGGAACAAAGTCAAAGACTGACAGCAGCCCAACCTTAAGGTATACTCTACAATTGCAATGATCAACCCTTATGTAACTGATGAGTAGACAAATGGATCAACGGAACAGAATAGTCCAGAAGGAATGCCATTTAAACACCCCTGACTCATATTTCAAAAGATCACTAAGTAAATATAATGGGGAAACAAATGGTGCTGAGCAACGACATTCACATCAGTGAATCTAGCCACAGAAACTCTCTATAAGATCTAAAATGGTTAATGGATCTAAACATAACAGAAAAAAAAAAACAGAAGAAAATCTAGATGTCTTTCTTGAGTTTGATGATCATGGGTTAGATTCAACACCAAAGGCATGATCTACAAAAGAAAGAAAAATGATAAGCTAGACTCTATTAAAATGAAAAATTTCTTCTTGTGAAAAATACTTTCAAGAGAATAAAAAGGCAAATTACCACCAGGGAGAAAAGATTTTTTCAAGAAATGGGATAAATGACTGCTATCCTAATTGAACAAAAGTCAATTAGATCTTAGTAATAACGAAATACACACATTCAGATGGCAAGCACTGGCAAAGAACATCATGTGGTATCAGAAAAATGAATATTAAAGCAGCAATAACATGCATTTACATCTATTAGAATAACCAAAATCCAGGATACTGAGAGCAACAAACGTTCATGAGAATGTTTGTGTAGGTTCATCCACTGTGATAAATTCATTTCTCTGGTGGATGTTAATGGGAAGGTTTCGAAACCTGGGCAGCATGGATAGTGGGAAAATCTCTGTACATTCCTCTCAATGCTATTGCGAACACAGACACTCTACACATGATCGAACATACCAAGCTTTAAGGCAACCACTAACACAAGTTACCTGTCTTAAACACAAAAAGGAATATTTGTATTCTCATAGTTCACTTGACAATTTTTCCCTTAGTCTTTTGGTCTTATAGGTAAGAGGATCTCTTCTCAGGAAGACAGGCCACCTCAAGTTGAGCTCTTTCAATTTACAATAAAAACTGGGATTGTCAATATACTCCTGATTAAACACAAACCTTGAATGCAAAAATAACAGGGAGGATGCCACACAGAGTGTGGCCCCTCTATCACAGTTTTATTCAACTCAAGTATCATAGTTGAAATAAATAGTTAGCAAATGCTCACATGGTTAGGAAGAGCTAGGTTTCCAAAGCAGTTATCAAGATTTTAAAAAATCTGAAGACATCTTCTTTTTATCCCTTGCCATCTAACATAAAAGAGAATTGGGGTCTCAGGTCCTGCTTTGAAGAAAAATGAAAGCATGAGGGGTCACTATGGCACTCAGGCTTAGCAGAAATCTGGTCTTCTCTCTGTTCTGGTTACTGCACACAGGTTTATAATTTCTTATAAAGTTGTAGGTACATCATTTTTACAGTGTTTAATTATATTCATTTTTTACCTAATTTTTGATGACTTAGATTTAGTTGGTATAAAGGAGAGCAGAATTTTTCTTGGGTTGACAGTGAGAAAAGTGCAGTTTCAATTCATGACACTTAGGCAGTGTTTCACAGTTCATTTTGTTAGTGCTGGACATAAGTCGTAAGTGAAGAAAAACATTTCATTCAAGCCTCAACAGGAAGGAGTGGGTAGTCTCCTCTGTCCTCTGCATGTCTGTATTCTCAAAGCATTCATTTCCAGCAATATTTTGTTGGCTGTTTCATTTTACCATCATGTCCCATCAATGAATATTAGACATGTCTTAATTCCGCACATATATTCTATTGTAAACATCATAATTTTTAAAAAGTATCAACCATGAAAGCTAAGAACAATCAATTAGGATTTGGGGATAGTTTATATACCAGGATTCTAAATCTAAAAGCATGAGTGAATGTAGAAAAATTGGGGAGGACTAATTCAGGACTTAAACCAAGAATTGTCACCAGCCGAAGAGGAGCATGCAAGATCTAGGAGTAGGTCCTGACTTTCTAAGAAGGACACCAATGACATCGAAGAGGTACCACCTAACGCCAGTAAGATTGGCCCACATAAAAGAAAACACCAATAACACGTGTTGGCGAGGATGTGGGGAAAAGGGAACCCTACTCCATTGCTGCTGGGGCTGCAGGTTGGTACAGCCTCTATGGCAATCAGTATGGAGAACCCTCAAACAACTCAAAATCTGCATACCATATGATCCAGCAATATTACTCCTACGAATATATCCAAAACACCTGTTTCACGAGAAACCAACATGCACCCCTATGTTCACAGCAGTACAATAAACAATTGCAAAAACTTGGAAGCAACCGAGATGCCCATCAACAGAAGACTGGATAAGAAAGTTATGGTTCATCTACTCCATGGAATACTACTCAGCTATTAAAAAAAAAAACAAAATGCAGTTCTTCGTGGCCAAATGGGCCCAGCTGGAAACCATAATGCCAATTTCTTATAAAATAAATGTGACCACCTAGCAGTTTTATTCCTGGATGTTTATTACAGAAGTTTGGAAACACGTGGTTAGATAAAAGCATGGATATTCATAGATTTTTTTTTATTTGTAAGACATCAAAACCAGAAACAACCTAGAAGCCTTTCAACTGGTAGTTGATTAAGCAAACTGTGAAATATCCACTTCATGGGCTACTGCTCAAAAATGAACCAGTTGTTGACTACGAGTGATCACCGGCTTGAATTCCTGAGCTGCCTAACCATGAGGTCAATTTTTTTTAATGTTTCTTACAACATAGTTACAAAGAGTATTTATATTACCACCAATATCCTACATGCCAGCATCTTTTTTAAATCACATCCACTTTCCTCTGGCTGACACCTTAATGCCTGGCAATCCATAATCCACTCTCACTTTTATAATTTTCCATTTCAATAAAGCTATTAAAATGAAATATGATAATGTGGAACCTTGCAGTGATTACATTGTGTTCATTTAGGATAATTCTGGTTTTGATGTCTTACAAATAAAAAAAAAATCTATGAATATCCATGCTTTTATCTAACCACGTGTTTCCAAACTTCTGTAATACACATCCAGGAATAAAACTGCTAGGTGGTCACATTTATTTTATAAGAAATTGCCAAACCACGTGGGCATTGAGAATAGTTAAAACAAAAATATAATGCAAATACTGAATATTGGAGATGATTAAATGGTTCTGGTCATTAATACAATACTGATAACCACAGGAAGTGATTTGAAGAAGAACTTTTCAACTGTTTAATAGCAAAATGTTGACTCTTTTACTAGCTTTTCAAAACTAGTTTAAGATAATAAAATAGACTTTATAACTAATGCATCAGGAGGTTGACTGCATCCGCTCCTCTCACTGGAACCACAGTCATGTCATTCTTTGTCCTTACACTCCAACTGAATGAATGGTGACCCCGAGCCAAAATCCCACACATGTTTCCAACAATGCTGACATGATAGAGAGGAAATTGCTGGCAATGTGGATATACATTAACAAAGCAGTTTTTCACAGATGTCTTTGAGGCATCTTTCATAAATTATGATAGCCATTGTAAATACACAACAGAAGAAAATGCTAAACCTTGTAAAACATGGGCTATTCACGATAAAATGCTTTTGTGGCATAATGTTAGTGTGTATTTGGAAACGATTTTAAGGCACAAAAGGAACATTCTTTGCATCTGATGAAACAGAGAAGCTTATTAATGGAGACTGAAGAATCCGGAGAACAGCTGCTTAACGAAAAGCACTGCAAAGCGCTGTAAACTAATTTTATCTGCCTGCTTCAACATGAATATTATGACAAAAATATTTTTTGCCACATGTTTACTCTACAATAAATAGCCCAAAAAATGCAATCTACAAAAAGGAGATAAAAATCAGCAAAACCATATCACACCTAAGTAAACTTAGTAGTTTGGGCTAGGCATATAATTACACAATTATCAGAATTATGACATGTTTTTCAGTTTGCATTTTCATGAATGATAAATGGACATGAAAGGGCAATCACATATCCTACTGATATCCGTGGAGAGGAATGAATTAAAAAGGTAAAATTAAGTGCTTGCTATATGAGGGAAAAAATTTATCAGGCCTGTGATTATCATAAAACTCATGTGAGAACCTCAGTTTTAAATTGAGGCAAAGAATACTGACACATGTATACATATTATTTTTATTGCGAAAGAATCTTTCCATGATAAATTTAAACTGGACATTTGCAAACAGTTAGTATCAGAATTCAGAAATAAATATCAAGAGCTTAGAAATTATACATGATTTTTATAATAATAATAATACTAATAATATATAGTTCTTATTATTTCCCCAAATACTATATTTGTTTGCAAGTCCAATCACTTCGTGTTGTCATTATTTGCTAATATTAAAGGGAAAACTCTTGATTCACAGATTTTTGACTATCATTGAATTGAACAAATTTAACACATTATTTGACTATTATTTCTACTTTTATGAGATATGTTAAATATATTTTCTTTAAATATCCATTTTTGGGCCCAGAGCGGTAAGCTAGCAGCTAAAGTCTTCTCCTTAAGTGCTCTGAGATCCCTTATGGGCTCTGGTTCTAATCCTGGCCTGGGAAAGCAGACGAGGTCTGCCCAAAACCTTGGGACCCTGCACCTGCGTGGGAGACCCAGAAGAGGTTCCATTCGACTGGTTTCGATCAGTTCAGCCCTGACCATTGCAGCCACTTGGAGAATGAATTAACGAACGAAGGATCTTCCTCCCTGTCTCTCCTCATCTCTGTATATCAGAATTTCCAATAAAAAATAAACAAAATAAATCTTTTTAAAAAATCCCCTTCTAAGGTATTCATATTTTCCATTAATTTATGAAGAGCACCCATACATTAGTAACAGGCATGCAGAAACTGTT